ACACTGATGTTTTTACTGTGATACATAGCTGAATGCATACTTCTTTCCCACTGCTGCTTGCAGCAGTTGTATTTTCTGGGTACATCTAGAAAGAATTAATTTCTAAGGGGCAATTACGAATGTGATTAAAACCTGGGAAAGCAAAAGCAGGGAAAAGCGAAAGTTCATAGTTAATACCCATATTCCTTTAGTGGTTTTATTTGAGTAATTAAATGGGACATAATTGCTGCATAGTGAAATATCCATTGCTTTTGCTGCTTGTTGTGTATTATTCCTGAAAATAACAGTGTTGCTTTATCTAAATAAGGATCACATAAAAATTCATAGTGGTGGAGCTTGTGACTGGCACTTTCATGTCTTCACAAATAAGGATTCCTGTGGATCACTGCAAAAATTGATTCTTAAAAAATCAGGAGAATAAGTGGTTACCTCTAATGCAATTAAGGTCTTGCTCCTGTTTTCCACATTACAAGCTTTTCTCAGCCTGACAGTATTTAAGAGCTTGACTCATGTCAAGTGACACCGAAGACCAGGCTCAGTTTGATGGATGCCGTGGCGCTGACCTTGTTAGCGGCTCCTTGTCCTAAGTCAGTGTGAGAGTGGCATATTTGAGTAAGCAAAGAATAAATTGTATTGGGGATGAAAGAACTACTGTTGTGGAAAACTCGGGTGCAAACATGTAAGTTTTTAAAACTTTTTTGTTGATTCTTAAGGGCCACAGAAAGAAGGGACTGAGAAGCAACTCCACAGGTGGATGAAACTCTTGACTAATCTTAGTACAGAAGCGGAGCTGGAGGTGTGTCTGTGAGCTAGAAAGGGGAGCCACTGTATCACACCACCACTTTCTGCAATCTGCAAGGAACAGCAGCTCATCAGCTAGGCTTTTACTGTAGCAAGCTCCATCTTGAAACATACTTTCTAGCCCTTAATGCTGGAAAGCAGAGAAAATATGGGAAGGAAGAGAAAACAAGTTGTAGATCGAAGTGGTGTTGTCAACTAGAGAGCAAAGGCAAGGATTGGTTACTTCTGTTCCTGTGGAGATAGGCAGGCAAGATAATCATTTAGAAATAGGCTCCTGCAGGTCTAGAGGTTACCACAAATATTTCAAGTTGTTTGCTTTTTTTGCTATTCTAATAAGAAAGGTGAGAACAAGTGTGTCTGTGTGGGAGGAACTTCCTCCAGTCCACTGTCGCTCTTTTCTGTGGGAACTAGGCTGGAACACAGCTCACTCCCCTGTCACGAGACAGCCCGATGGAAATCTTGAAGCCATTTGGGAACAGCTATAAAGAAGTTTTAAGAGTTTGTGGGCAGAAAAGACGAAATATCACGGCTAGAAGTGCTTACAAAAATGTGAGTATTTTTACCTGATACCGGGTCTGTACAGACAACTGTTTAAAGCACTGAATGCTCTGGTGTGCTGCACTAATTGCTGCGGTGTACTCTGCCTGATTGCCTTCTCGGGGAATGGAAAGTGGAGGTGAGGAGATGATAGATAGTAGATGTGAGAGGGCAGCCTGTGGTTCCTTGTAACTTATGGACCTAAAACCCTTCCCTGAGGCTGAGGTACTGGTCAAAGCATCATAAAACTGAAGAAGCGATGGAGTTTTTGACATGGTCTAGGGGACATGGTGGCGCTGGATTAATGGTTGGACTTGATGATCTTGAAGGTCCTTTCCAACCTAGTGTTTCTGTGATTCTGTGATCTTGCAGGGATCGGATAGAATGAGTCAAGTGTTCATAATCAGGGTGAAATACTTTTCAGACTATGGATTTATCTTGGTGGAAAAATCCACTGTTTCTTACCCTTGGCATCAATTCTAACCCCAGGACACCTCCATTCCAATCTTTGTCGTACTGAATGTAGCTTAGAGATTGGCTCAGAGATTCTGAAAGCTTAGAAGCAAGGACCTCACAGCAAAAGGATCATCTCCTGTTTTTAATTCCTTTCCAAAAGTTCATCCCTTAGGGACCAGGAATTAAACACTTTCTCTTTTTGCTTAGATAATATACTATAAAAGTGTATTGAGTAGTAGCTTGTGATCTCAAAAAAACTTACACTTTTAGCTCTTTTAACAGTAAGTGTCCATAAATCAAACTGAAATTGTGCCAGGAGGTAGTAGTCAAGATTTCTTTAGTGGAGCAGAAAAGCATGTTGGAAAGAAATCTGTGCAGGCAGGTCAGAGGAGGGGAGAAGGAAATAAAAAGATCTATTTGAGGCCATTGTTAAATAGTGAAAGAAAAGGACAAAGGAAATAAGATTAGAATTTTTCACCCTTTCTCCTGAGCTTTTGTTGCTCAAAAATGTTTCATCAGGAAATTGTAGGTACATACGTACTTCTATCTGCAATGAATAGTTGCATAGCCATTCTTTAGCATTTGTAGTATAACACTAATCTCTTATGAAGCACAGCATTCACTCTATCAATATTTCATAGTCTGCAGAGCTTAGTGGAACTGCCCTGCGCATGTCTTCCTCGCCATTCACAATGAGAGAAATCGTATCACAGCATCTTAGTTGTGGCAGCATCTAACACTTTAAAGAAAAAAAAAAAAATAAAAGGCGGCAATCTCACAGCTAAAACCAGATCCATATTGCGTATGATCCTACTAACTTGCTGATACAGTGCATAGTTTGGAACTTTGGGGATTAAAATCTTAACTCAAAACTGATAAATAGTAGAACAAGGGCAGGTTATAACCTAGGAGTAGGTCCACACTCTCTTAGGGAACTCGATGAGCCCTGACCTGCTTGCTTCCGTGTAGTGATTTAATTTTTGAAGTGGTTTCCATATATTGTGTATTGAAGAAAGATTATGAAGGGTCCAGTCTTAGTGTGCTTGAAAGTCCTAGAAGTCATCTTATCTGGTAATGGTACTGCTTTATTTTACCTTGTGTCTTTCCCCAGGAGTCTCTGGATAATGATACTGCAATATATTCCTCAAAGGTTTTGTCAGATGGGAACTAACATCCTTTACCCTCTTTTGGAACATTTATACTATTAAAAAGAGTGTACAATGGAGAGAGTGTGCTTTTGCTTCAAAATTTTGCAAAGTAAGTTAGCTAAAAAAATTCTTCCCAAGAGAGGAAAAAGTATCTTTGAAAACTGACTGTTCAGTGACTCAGAGACCCCAATTAACAGATGTGGGACCCGATGCACAAGGAGCTATAACATACCGTATATATGAAGACATATTTATTAAAGAAATTAAAAGACATTCTGTATAGCCAAAACATCCAGTTTAACTGGCTTAATACACTGAAACTTGTCTAACTCTGAGTTACTACTACTTCTAATAAGAGATCAAACAAAAAAAACTTGAAAATCAGTTTAAGGCAAAGCTTTTGGCAAGTAGGTGAGGGATCGATAATAAAAGCACTTCAATGATACCGAAATAAGATTTGAAAGAAAAAAATTTTTCATGATACAAGGACTTTGTATGAATCCTTGAGGGTAGTGCTGTTCGTTGCAACCCTCACAGGAGTACATTGTCTTAATTTAATCTTTTATCCAGAAAAGCAGGACACCAAGGGGTAAATGAGTTGTGCATATGAGTGAATCTATTTTTTTAATATATATATATATATAGCTTTAACAATTATTGATGTGCAACCAGAGGCAGAGAAGCATATGATATGACTTCTGCTTGGCAGTTATGAAAGACTATGTGAACTATGAAAGATTAAATGTGAACTGCAACTGAATGTGCAAGGAACATAGAGGCTACTGGAACAGGCTTCAGAGATCAGTGGGTAAACTGAGCTCCGTGAGGCCAGTCAGGTTTTGTTCAAATCTCCCATGTGTGCTGCTTGGGGGTATGCAAGCTACGTAACTTCTGGATCTTTTGGATCACTTTTAGTTAGAAGAGAAGACCGGCTATGTTGTCTGGTGCCTGTTTCTGCAGTGGAGACTGTATAACGGTTGGAATAGTTTATCTTCTGCAAATTTTAAGTAGGCATGTAATTGTTTCATTTTGCCTGATCTGTGAATGAGTCCCAGGCAGAGTTAGATTGTCAATACGAGTTCCCTGTGATAAGCTTTTTAACAAACTTCCATTTCAACAGCGGAAAAAAGACTAAGAAGGGAAAACACATGCTATTGGGATAAAACAGCTGTGCATATGAGAATTACTAACTTTCTCAGCAGAACTTGAGCAGTCCTACAGAGTTGCGTCAGTTCCGAGTTACTTGCTAAAGATCAAACTTTTTTGTTCTCAGACAGTTTAATAATGTGAGAGTGCAGATGCTAATATACCTCTGCCGTCATTGTCAAAGTAACTGCATTTCACCTTGATGCCACGCAAGGCCTGGAGAATCCCAAGGCAGGGTGCTAGGCGAAGCTTGGTCAGGATGAAGCACAAGGAGTAACCACTTGCATCTATAAAACAATTTCCAAGCCAATGCATTGATGGAGTGGCTCTTTCTAAGGAAAATTAATCTGTATATGACTGATACGTAACTTTCTAACCTGGCTGAACGGTGAGTGATCAGGCTGTGCACAAAAAGCTATAGCAAATACTTGGTACAATCTGATAAGCTGCCACAGCTGCTTGTAAACTTGCTGAGCATTTTTCACTGAAGACTTTTTGCCACCTTGGTAGTACGTCCCCCTTCTTTGGTCTAAAATCAGAGCCCAGACTAGAAGAGGAGCAGGGAGGAAATAAATACGTTTTGCTGCCAGTCACTAGAGTTACTTGCTTTTCTTTCTGAGGCAACCAAGAACTGGCCTCAGATGTTCTTGGCCTCCTCCTGCCTTTTATAAACGATGACATATGGTGGAATTATGTCTCCAGCTTTGTAGCACAAAGGATTAACGTACATTTTAAACAGTACATAAAGCTGTCAGAGTGCAGCATAAGCTCATAACAGTTTGTCTTTGTGATGACCTGTGGGCTCTCGGGTAGCTAGGGAACAGTTGGAGTGAGACAACAGCAAAACCGTGTAGAGAGCTGATAGCTGAGTAGCAAACTCCATGTCACTGATTAAACACTTTGTCTTTACAGGCCGGGTTTCCTTTTTCACCTCTGGATCGGAGAACCTTCATCGGGTGGAAAAGGTTCACTGGGGCACTCGCTATGCCATCACCATCTCCTTCACTTGCAACCCAGACCATGGCATTGGGGATCCAGTCTTGATGTAATTCCTCCAGGGATGGAACGTGAGGTCAAATGGAAGGAGAGAAGCGCTGCAAGACAAGAGGGAAAAGGGAGATAATGTCTCTTGTAACCTCACATTCCATTAGAATTTCTCAGCTGTATTAATATTTTGCAATACATCTTGTTTTCATGTGTCCTTTTCCATAAACGTTGCAAACGGTGCCTTAAAGACCATGTTAAATTTGGTGTATTCTGAAAATGGTTTGTCCTCATGTCCTAAAGGGATGGGCTACAAAAAAGTGGGGTCTTTTTTTTTTCTTAAAATTCTTTTGGACCATGTCTTGATATGACTCCCCATGCTGCTGTTACCTGTTTAATTATTTAGTCTCTTCAGTCACTAATGGATGTTTGACCTAAGTTAGTAGAGCAAGATGAGTGTTATTCTTTGGAACATACCTTCTGTTGAGAGGAATATATTCTCCTCAGCATGGGCATTAGTGGGCAATACACCTGTAGTTTGACTACTGGGACTTACTTGAACTTTTTTAATTGAATTACTACAGGCATTTTCTGCTACAAATGGAGACTAGTTAATAAAAAGTCAGAAATACAATTCTCTTGTCGGCCAGAAAGCCTACTGCTTTTGGATTACAAACGTTTTGTGCTAGGGAATGTCACTCCATTAGATCCCTCTGATCAGAATGCAGCATTCCCAACTCGCCTCGTTTTCTTTGGGTCTTAATGAAAATGGTCAGTCTTCTGGTTAGAAGCCGAGTGTTAGGGTTATTAAGAGCTCTTTATGGGAACAGCTTGACCATGTAATCCTGTACATTAAGTAAATATTAAAAAGAAGAGCTGAGCAGAGGTAATCAGAATCTGGATTCATCTGAGCATTCATCGTTGCCTAGTTCCCAGATAGGACAGTGGGGTTTCGGAGGGGCACAGCTGAGAAAAAAGTTAGTTTTGTTGTGGTTTTCCATATGCCAGTTCTGGCTGCCTCAGATTCAATCCTGTAAACCCTGGCTTGCTGCTTGGAAGGCTGGATAACAAAACCACATGGACCAGTGGCCTGTGGTGTGTGGGGTCTAATGGAAGCTGCTGTCCACCTACCTTTTAAGTTGATCCAGTCTTGAGCTGGAACTCAGTAGTAAAACACTTTGAAAACCTCTATTTATTGGGTCTTAAGACCAAGCTGAAGGATGCTTGGTGTTTTTTTTTTTTAATTGTTGACACAAGTACAAGTCTTGCGTTGTGAAATACTGTGCTTTGTCTCCTCCAAAACAGTGTTTTATCTGTTTCAGAAAGTTTCTCAATAGCTCTTCTTGGACTTCTCTTCAGTTTTGTACAAAGACTTTTTTCTGTTAACTAGGACCATTAGTCTGTGGTGTCCCTTGAATAATATATTGCAAGGATTTCAGAGAAGAGGGGATGATTGCATTGCCGTACAGATAAAGTAACAAACAACTGCATACTCTTGCCAACTACCTTGCTTTCTTATTACCATCAAAGATTTTTGTGGGTTAGTGCATTGATAAGTACATGGTAGGAAGACCTATTTTTTTTCAATCGAATTCTGAAGCAAACATGTTGATTTGTTTTATTAATAGTCTATATAATTTCTGTGAAACACTTTGAAAATCTGGAAATGTGCTTTCATTTTTTCCCTTTTTTACATTTTACGCATACAGTTTTCACTTCTTAATCTACCCTTTTATGGTAATAATAAATATTGGGGGGGGTGACACTGAAGATCAATATAAAGAGCAATGATGACAGGACACTTGGACTTGTTCTATCGTGAGTGTTCTCATTTGGCACACCAGAAAGATTAGTCTTCCGTGATTTCATTTCTTTGTGTTCAAACCTGAAAGAGGCTTCCTTGTCTGTGCTAACAAGGAAGAATTGTTAAAATGGCTCGATGCTAGGAAATAATAAAGTCAGTTGGGTTCCATATCTAAATACTTGTCTCAAAGCCTCTTATTTCCAAGCAATGTGCATTGCACCCAAGTTTTAAGTCTACGTGATGGCAGACCAAGATCACCAGCAACTGCTTTACTGGCTTAAAACTTAATTCCTAATGTACCTTCAGATTTAAATGTAGGGCCTTTTCCACAGAAATACCTGGTAGCAGTGGAATCTAAATATGAATGGACTTGTGTGGGGTTGGTTTGGGACTCTCCAATCCCAAATCAACCCAATAGGGTTGAGGTCCTATGTTCCAACATGCTTACTTCTGCAATAAATACTCTGCAAGTCCAATCACAGCTCTGCTACACTGTCATATAAATTGCGTTGCCACTTTTAAAAGTGTTTGTTATTTGTGTCTGTCATGTAGGCTTTGAGTTGCACTAAACAAAGATGGCACTTTCAGAGCTGCCTTCTATAAAACACGGCTCAGCAAGATCATGTTAGACCATGGGGGAAATCTCAGCTCGCCTCCTCTCGGATTTTCACCTTTTGAGGATCCTGTGTATTGTAATATCTCGAGCGCAGTGCATCTCTCATGCTATGAATTGACTGCCATTCAGAAATAAAATCAAGGTGGTATTTGTCTTTTGGAGTTTTTAAGCTTCAGTAACGTGTTCAATATGATGAGCAAACCTGTCAAGTGTAATCTGTGGAAAACCTTGTGCGCTGTACCTGGTAAGAGAATTCATCTCTTGAAAGAAGTATAACAATTCAATATGCTGGATGTTTCTGTACCAACCCAGGTTTTTCTATTTGAAGCTTCAGTATCTGGAGTACTGGAAGCAGTATCTAGATCCATGAAGAAATTAAATAGCAAAAGAGGAAGTATAGTGCAGTCTAAAAAATTCTGGACATAGCCTCCATCAGGAAAACAGTAATTGCAGAAAGCCTGATGTTCCTGGGGCAGAGTGGAGTTTGCAGAATTCACTCATCAGTAGAAATAAACCTGGCTTAATTTCTTTTAGTCCCCTTAAATACCCTAAGTAACTTTTTATTAAGGGTATCTCTTCGCAGTTCTCAACAGATAATTCTGAATTTGAAATACTTTACTTACTGTCTGACCTCTTTCAGCCTGCCTGTTGCTACTGGGAAACGCAGAGCTCTCTTTCTTAGAACTCCAATTATGCTGAGGATGGGATTTGTTCTGTTAAACCAACATAAATCTGGTGCCAAGCTGCTACAGGCAAGTGCTTTTAATTGAACACATGGTGAAGACAGAATTTGGCTTGATGTTTCCCAGTTGTGTGAGAACCCTTGTAAAGAGCCCTCATGGTTCAAACAAAGTAAAGAAAGGTCAGTACATGTTCAGTGTGAATTGGGGTGAAGTCCTGATGCTGTAAATTTACAGCCTTGTACCTGAAAGCATACTTTGTTAGGAGTATTTGGGAATGTTGATTTGTATTTTGAAAGGAAAATATTTGTAACGGAAGGTAAAGCCTGCTTGTGTGAAAAGTCCCAGGGCAAAAGAAAAAATACGGCAGGAAGAGCAAGGCGGAGTTTGAATCCCTACTAAGAGACCGCGTGAAGTTTCCTGAGGACTTCTGTGACATTGTACTACTGCTAAAACTATCTTTCCTTTCAAAAGTTTTGGGGAGTACCGGGAACTTCTGTACAATTAACAGGTATGTGATCAGATTATATTTTTAGTGTAAACCGAGCTCTCAATCCTGTAGCATGCGTTTTATTTTAATTTTTATCCCCTTTATCCCCTATAACATGATTCTAGGTACTCCGTGTGGACTTCTTGGCATTTCTCATGTATAAAAGTTTCATTGTGCAACCAGTCGTGTATTTTAATTCCCCGTAAATCGACTGAAGGTTTGGAAAAGTACCTTTGTGTTGAGACTTTCCTGAGTATGTATTGTCCACCTGAAATATTCTAAGCTCCGTCTTCATGAATTTCAAGTCCAGAAATGTTTACTAGGATACTCTATTTACAAAAAATATTTTAATTTGGATTTATAGCATAAATTTAACTTTGTGTCTTATTTGTTTTTACTGATAAGCTCAACATCTCAACTGGGTACTTTCTGGGGCTGTAGCACATAATGATGTGCCCATTAAAATAAAAATGTAGCTGAAATGGCTTTGATAATGACTATGCTGTCAAGAAAACTGTGTTTTGTTTCTTCATTGCAATTCTTAGTACATTCTCCTTTATAGCTTCTCTTTCCCCAGTAAATAAAGATGGCTTTGTTTTTGATACCGTTCCTCACATTCCTTCTACATCCAGATATCCTCACGCCGCGCTTACACGTGAATTGCATCTCTCTAACATGCTCACGTGTGGCATTGTGCAGTATTTCCGTCTTATCTAAATTCTAGGAATAAAACCGGGAAATGTTGCTGGAGGTTGGGGCTTGGGGGGAAGGGGATACAACAACCACCCTCCTCTTCCCTCCCCCAAGCAAAAATTAAAAAAAAAAAAAAAAAAAAATCCCAATCGTGTGTCTCCTTTTTGAGTCTCTTGTGCGGAAATCCAACCAAACATTCCAAGAACAGCAGAAGAGTTATTTTCCTTCTGGACCACAGATGGCTCTGGCATGCCTCGATCATCTTCGCCTCCTTCGGAAAGGCAGTCTTCTCGGGAAATCCGGCCATCGTAAAGTGGTGGGTAATTCTCGGGTGAGTGTCTGTTGCTCCTGGTAAAATACCGTGAAGAGCTGTAGCGTACTCGGCCTTACCTCTGCTTTTGTAAACCTCCTTAGGAAGCTGAAAGCTAGTTTTACATCACGTTTGCTGAAACCTGCCAGTCAACTCCCTTCGTGATCATCAGTTTATCCCTAAAGTATCTGTGGAGGCACTTTTTATCCTCCATATGAGTGTTGGTGGCTTGGACTAAAGTGTTCTGGGTTTTCTTTCAGCACGGACTGGCCAAGGAAAAGAACTCTGTCCTATTTCCAAACTGCATCTCTTCCTTTGTGTCCGTCATCTCCCCTCAAATCGCCCATTTCATCTCTCCATTCTGTCCCAGCATACTTAAGCTTCTACCTGTAGCATATATGGAGTGGGGTATATAAGCTCAGTCCGTTATTTATTCATAGCCTGGCTCACTAGAACTGAAAAGGAGCTAGCTTTTTCCACTAACCCTTTCAGCCCATGTGGTATATTAATCTTGTAAGAAGAACTTCTAATGGTTGGACTCTCAAGTGTTGCTCAACTTTGAGATTTTTTCATTCTTCAGCATTCTTTTTTTTTCTATTACAGTATTGTCCCTACTTGAAACACCACCTTTTATTTCTGAGATTTATTTCTGAGAGTTTTATTTCCATCGTGACTGTTTTCCTATATAGCTGAAAGAATGATGAGCTAGGGATCAGTGTTGCCTGCTGTTGAGCAGCCTTGTCTTTCATGATAACTTGGGGCAGCGAGTACTGAATTTTGAAATGGATACTACAGAAACTTTTTTCTTTTGTTTTTTCTTTTTTTTTCTTTTTTTTTCTCTGCTCTTTGTCAGTGACTGTTGTGCATTAAGGAACCGCTGGTAGAGCTGCTCCTTTGTGAACTCTCATTGACTTTAACGGGATGCTACACGTGCGGATCAGACTGCGGGATCACACCAAGAAATGCCTTGCTTGGATAGCCGTTATTGGGAAATCAATAAAGCAGCCTGGAAGTACCATCTCGTTTATTTTCGTAACCTTTAGATGCACCCAAACAAAGCAAAAACTTCAAAATATCCAGGTTTACTGCTGGATAATCCTGAGGCTGTCCGAGGAGTCTGGACTGGCTGAATGCATCAGCTGCCAGGTCAGGTATATTGTTATTAATGAACTTCACCGAGACCTTCACCCAGGCTTCAAGCTGGAGACTCAGCAGTGTGGAAGCGCAGCGGCAGCACGTGCCTGAAGTGATAGCACCTCTTTTTGAAGGAAAGGATATGTTATTTATAGAGGGAAGCTGAGATTTACGGAGAGGTCATGTTACTTGTTTCTGGAAACTTCTTGTAAGAGGCCACCAGTGTTCAAAAAAACTCGTTTTGGAAATGGATATTCTTTCTGTTCTTTTGCTAACAACAACAAAGGCAACTAGGTTACCGAGACATGGTATTTCTGGACAGAAACCTTAGGAATTTGTCTCTTTCTTGCTCCTCAGTTTATACAGTTATATTAAGCTGTTTATGGGGATGCCAGGACGCTTGGCTGCCGACTGCACAAAAAAATCTTATTGTTTTGTTTTGAGACTGCTTTTCATGGCCAGGGTAAGGTCTCCGGGTGGGTTCCCACCTCGGAGGTGACCTCCTCAGCAGATTAACTTGCCAGCCTGACCATTAAATCTGGGGTGGGGGATAAACAGCAGCAGCTCCTAATGGAGTCACTTTGCTCGTGTTGGCTCTGGATGGTGGTTTCTCCCGTTCCCTCTAGCAGGCAAATGGTTTTGTTTCTGATTTACGTTACTGAAGAGGAGACACGTTCTGGGAGTTCTCAGAATATTAGGGCTTTACATGGGATTCGCTGAATAACCGTGTAAAAAGAAAGATGCATTTTTACCAGGTCATTCAAAAACTTAAAAGGCTGCTGTGAAACCAGACAAACTCTGAGCCCGTTTAGTCCTTGCACTTCTCACCAGAAAAGAAATACGAAAAGTGATCACGTACTTGGGTTATTTCGACTTCGCTGTGACAGTTCTGTGAGCCATAAATGTGTGTTTTCTCATTTCTTTCTTTATTTTAAAGGGAGATAGAAATTCATCGGGAAGGCATTCCTTTCCACAGGGAGGAATGGGATCAAAAACTCCCTTGTTTACTAGTATGAAAAAAGAAATATGACAGAAGTAAGTCAAGCAGAGGGGTAAGTTAAATTTAAGATGGTGTTAGGCAGACAGCAGCTACGGGAGATTTTTCCCACACTGAAATGTCCGTATCAATGTTGAGCTGACGTTCCCCCCGCCCTTCAGTCTCCTTTATTGTTTCCTTAGAAGATCAGACAAACAAGTGGAACCTGGGAGCTTTCAGGCAGCGAAGCTCTTGCTGTTAAAACCCTTCGTGAAGCTTTCAACGGTTTGAAAGTACTTTTCCCCAACACCAGTTACGTAAGCTATTTATCCTGTCCCTCTTCAGTTTGAACTAACAGTGAATGTGAGCATGCTAAAATAAGTTGTCATGCTGTATCCATCTATTTAAAAAATAACGACTTAAACTCACTTCTGCATGTGTCTTGTGTATCGACTGTGTCTTTTTTAGGTGATGGTGTCCTCCATGTGTAGCATCTGTCTATTGTACCTTTCCTGGCACTAGGCAGAATTTAGACCCGTAGCTAAGAAACAATCCAAGAAGAAATTAAGACTGAATTTATAAACATCCAGAAATTTTCCCGGGGGGGGGGAAGTTTTAAAAATTTGGGGGTTTTGGAACCATAAGAAAGGATGAAGTTTTACTCATTTTGCAATCCTCTAGTTGCGGTGCAGGGGATATGCTCCTGCTCCTCAGTACTCTCCACTGAGGCTCCACTCTGCTCCTTCATGCTTGCACGATAGCTGGAAATCTAGCCCTCTCCCTGCTCATCCTCCCTTTGTAGTTACACACAGCGTTTGTTGGAGAACGGTGTCCGTTCAGACCAGATGCTGGCAGGAAGAATCTCCTTCCTCCGCCTCAGCACAGGCAGAGAAGACGTGCATGGATTCCTCAGGAAGGCTGGGCTTCTCTCGAAGAGTGCCCAGCTGAGAGCACCCAGCTCAGCAGGTGATGAAGGCACTCGCTCACGTCGCGTTTACTGGTGCCAAGAGCCTTGAAGTCTTCCATCTTCACAGCTGCCCGCCTGCCGCCTTCGAGCCTTGGTCTTTTCGTCTCAACAGCTGGAACTTGAGACCTCTTCACTTGATTTCCTAAATGCTTTTAGCACCTTCAGAGGGCTTGTAAGGCGGTGAATTCCAGCGTGCTGCAAAAATTATCACTTTCAATACCAGTTAAACACATTTTGACTCTGTGGCTAAGATTTTTACCTAGGCTTTAGAGCAGGCCATTAAAACTCATCCTCTTCCTAATAATTCTTCTTAAATAAAATGCTTCAGCCATAAACCGTACACAGATGGGCAATAATCAAAAGCCTTTCCGTAGCGGAACTGTACAGGGAGATACTTTTGAGATGTTCAGGTCTAAATTAATTATTCTGTGCTCTGGTCAGGCCAGCTTTGTGACTTGCAGGGTCCCGAGCAAGGCAGAAGCGAAGGTGCTTGACAGCAGCTCTGCTGTGAGGGGTGGGAGGTGTAATAGTACCGTGATTGCGTGTACGATTATAAGGGCTTAGACGTTAACGTCACGAACGTGGCGAGGGTCATAAAGAGCATAAAGAGATATTATCGTCTTATTAGACCATTTGACAGCATTGGGAAAAAAAAAACCTGAAAGCTTTGAGCCTTAAAGCCATGTTTTTAACGAATGAAACGGAGTGAATGAGTAAGTGGATCAACGTAAAATGAAATGTCAGTGTCTGCCTCTCCCCTGCCCATCAGCTGAACAGGGTTATTGAACCTTAGTTTTCTTTCCTTCTAGCGGTGGCCGGACCCGCAGGGGATGGACGTGCTACGGGGAGAAGACTCGGCTTGGTCATCACCCTGCTCCCGAGGCTACAGTCGGTACTCGCTGCAGGCACCCACAGCTGCTTCCTAAGTGCTGGCGAGGGCTCGTTTGCGGTACGGTGAAGATGAAGGTGGGAACAGGATTAGATATTGCAAAATCTTTTTAAAGGAATAAGATTCAAGTTCTCTAACAGTGATGGCATGCTTGCTGAATGCGTTCCGAGTAGTCCGGCTGCACCAGACTGTAACGCTTAGGAGACAAGTATTTTCCAGTTGTGTTCAAGGACCTGAGAAGTGAGGACAGCAGGTTATATCTGAGCCAGCTTTATTCATGGAGCGTGCCAGTGGTTCAGGCTTGGATCGGTGCAAAAAGTAAAATCTGTCTCTAAATTAGGTGCCTTGAAATTGAGAAATATTATTTTGTTGGGAAGAATTAAGGTGTGGAAAGAATGCTTGACTTAATGAGTTTATCTAATCTCAGTCTCCTTCAAAAGTACTAGCCTAGCCATAAATATTAAAGTAAGTTCTTTTTAGGGATGATAGCTAAGAATGCTTCCTAACCACATGAGAATTTACCATTCCTAAACAGCTAAAAAGCTGAAACTGATCTAAAAAACTAGAACTCCATAAAACCGAGCATTTTGCAACACGCGTGTATTGCACCAAAAAGCTAACCTCTGCGTTTGGACACAGACTTAAAACAGCCCTTGGTGGGAATTTTTACAAGAGACTCGGGTGAAGATTGCAAGTCCTCTGTATTTCTGCAAAGTAAGTTCAAGACTGTTGTTATGGTACCCGAGTTAACCGCAGAGGCTTTTTCTAGCCTTAATCCTCCTCACGGGCTGCTTCTGCTCACGTCTGGTAGCCGGGGAAGGCTTCTGCTGGGGCCGTGCCACAGGCACTGCCGGAGCCCGGTGTAGCTCGCCGGCAGCGAGGGCGGCAGCTCAGCTCCACGCCTCTCCCTTCCGCAGACGGTTACCCTCAACAGCGGAGACGGTGTTTGTCCTCGGGGCCGGCACTCCACCAGTTTGTCCAGTTTATGGCGGGAAGAGGCAGAAAGACTGATGCGTACGAGAGTTGACTGCATGCGCTCCCGCGTCGGGAGCCGAGAGAACCCTGTGCCCCTTGGCCCCTCCGGGCGGGCAGCGGGGACCACCCCAGGAGGAGGTGCAGGGTATGGTGGGGGCTGGATGGTTGGCTCTGGCTGTCAAGTCCAAAACGCAGTCAGCGGCTGGGATGGGGGGGACACATCTGCCCAGCTCTGGAGCTTCTAAGGAGGCGGTGGCAGCAAAAAAGACTCTGGGGGAAATGGGAGACAATATTTGGGCTATTTTGAGGGACTCAGCAAGACGTTACAGGCGATGGGAAGTATATGTGGAGCTGGTCTTGTTGTGGAAGGGAAAAGGACAGCCTGGAGGGCGGCAGGAAGCGGATGTTGAAAGAAAGGAAGGTGAAACCTCCTGCTGCTGAAGAGGGGCCGAGAAGGAGCAAATGCTAAATCCAGGTAACGGCAAGTGCCGAACGGCAAGGTCTAACATCCCCAGTGACACGTGATGGGGATTGGTATCACACAGGTACACGTGATGGGGAAAGGTAAAACCAACCGATGGCCCAGGGGCTCCAGCAGCGAGTGGGATCCCTTCACAGGAAGAGACTGAAAAAGTTTTTCAGAGACATTTCACTTAGTACTGAGGGTTGAGATCAGTCTGCAGCACTTCTCCAGCCATCCTTTGCCGATGGGCTTCCGTTGTTGTTGACTTTTTGTAGCTTCTTGGGTACCAGCAAGAAAAGGAGGTGGACAGGAGAGGCAGAAAATTCCTG